CACCTTTCCATCCCGCGCCCCTCACCCCGCCACATACAATCATCTTTTTAATTGCACGCAATTACACATTTTCCGGAAGATAATAATTGCATCTGAGCGGAGGCACAATTGTGAGCCGCTTCCCTACATCTTGCTCTAGTTATAGAAACCGTTTTGCACATTCAACTATATATGTTTGTTAATACGATTTGTAGTCATAGTTTTAGCCACATTGCATCAACCCGTTCTTCTCATTTCAAATGCAAAGCTGAAGCCTCGTGACCGGCTACATTAAAGGCGGTGCATCGACGCGTTGTCCCCGCGGCGGCCGTGCGCGTTGAGCGCCAGTTCGGCAAGAAGCCGAGCCGATTATTTGGTGTTCGCGACAAAATAATATAATGCTAAGTATCTTTGTCAATTCGCCGAATACGTTGATAAATACGATGTGATAATTACACGACAGCTGTGACTTGGTGTCGGAAAGGAGCGTTTACAGCTAGAGCGCGCCCCCTGCCCCGCTCCCCCGCGCTCCTCCCCGCCCCCGCACACCCGCGCGCCGGAAGGAAGGAAGCTTCAAATTAGTCCTCCCTGCTCCTCTACGACTCTAGCAATTGTTTGCGCGCATTAAAAGATTCTTTGAACTATCGCAGGCACTGCTCGGAAATCGAACCAAACTTTTTTTTTTTTTATATTATAATACTTACGTATAACTTTCTTGAAACAATCAGCTTTTACTATATTTATCGTGGAATTTAATTGTTTTTCTAAGATCCTCACACGGAACAGCGTACAGCTGGGGATAAGATGAGGATCGACTTTGGGATATTATAATAATTAATTGGTAGGTCCCTTAAAGTATACCATGACATGAGCAGATATCAGTCGGCTGCTGCAGACAATTCGGAACTTTTTTTTTTTTTTTTTTTTTATTTAAATTTGTTTCACCGTCTGCTAGTGAAGAGGTAATGCACACGGTCGCTCGCACACACATACAATGTAACATAGGCCGGTATAAGTAAATCTGTCCGCCGCTAAACGTTGCTTAATGCACGTTTTAAACCATTTCCTTTCCTCATTGTTTAAGATCGATGCCTAAAGATCCGTAGTGCCCCCGCGCCCTTCCGTGCCCCCGCCGTGCCCCCGTGTGTCCCCGCCGTGCCCCCGCGCCGCTTGTCGCTCGTACTTGAGTGGTTTCGCATTAACTGCTCGAAGGCACTTCGCTCTTTGGCCGCCGATACAAGTTTCGTCCCGCGACCGCGCGCGCTACTTCTGCACTATTTGTGACTGTAGCCGAGGCTGGCCGGGCATGATATAAGTTCTCGGCTGGCCACAACCTCTAAGTATTGATCGTGCACTAGGGAAGTAACATAAAAAAAAAAAATGTTTCTTCGTTCAGTCGCCCTACATAAGAGGATACCTACATGATAAAAGACTTTTGACAATGTTCTACAATTGTTTTTTTTTTTTCAGGAGCAAGTAAGTGTAGAAGTCCTCACTACACAGTTAGTGCATTGGACAAACAGACGGAACGCTTATGCGGCGGGCGCGTGTCGCTGTGCGCGGAGCGGCGCGGGTAGGGTGCGGGGCGGGGGCGGGGGCGGGGGCGGGCGACGCTCGCAGCCGCTAATGGCGCGCCATTACCCTCTCGATCTCGATACCGTGCTATCGAGTGATCGGCATTGTTCGCGGTCGCGACACATTTTATACTTTGCCACTGAAACGGTTATTGTCATTACGTTTTTAATGCGACAAAAAGGTTCACAAGAGCTGAGTAATGACGCGCACTCCATTCACTTGTGCGCCCGCGCCCGCTATGCTCGCATTCCAAATTTTATATACATATAAAATATTTGATGGCCAATGAATTTTCGCTGTCGGTTGTACATATTTCATGTTTATAAAAGGGACAAACTACATTTGACATATGTTGGCGCTGCTTCCGCTACTCCACAATAGATGGCGCTGTATGTTTATTAAATGACGATGTTGAGAAGTTTATTATTGCCACTAATATACTCCCTGCATAACCGTGTTTCTTCGGTGTGTTCTCATTGCACAATTGAGGTCGATTGCGTTCTGTAGTTTTCGTTCGTTTGGTTTGGTTTGGTTACGCTTTGGTTCTAGGGCTGGATCGTCCAAATACCCGGACGACCCAGTCCTAGAACCAAAGCGATATAAGATACGCGTCCAGTGATCCGCGAAAGGCGCTATGATTATGCCCCGTTTGGATTAGACCAGATCAGTAAGCCAGTCCCGCTCGAAATTAGCGCTGGATGCAATGAAGACAACCACTGAAGCCAGCATCACCGATAAGTGGGAAAGCGTTTTTTTTTTTTTTTTTTTAACATGTCCTTACTCGCTAAGTGATAACAATTTGTTCGCAAGGTCCAGGCAGCAGTCTTCCTAAGCGATTTGATACTATTATTACTCCTAATATCTAACTTAATACTATACCTAATTCTATGCATACATATATTCTACTTATTCTATATAACACAAATAATATAATTTGGAATTTAACTATATTCTAAACGAAACAATGAAGAGTAGACAGCGAAAAGACAAAACAGAGTGACACAGTATTAAATTGAATTATAAGAACAGGAATAAAACTAAAAACGAAATAAAGTTATAAGTAACACAGATCTACAACAAAATCATCAAAACATCGCATACACCTGACGCCATCTGACTTTTGGGTTGCAAAGCATTCGCGAGATTTCTTGACTTTATTAACTGAGATGAAAAGATATTCAATTTTGCTAGGAAAATTTGTTGTAGAGCCATCTGTCGGAGTGTGGCGTCAGTGGTGACAGTTTGGCGCCTAGGTGTTTAGAATTTTGTCGCTAGAGTACGTTGTTCTAGGACGTCCCTTGCGAGCTATATTATAAAAAAAAAAAAAAAATAAAAAAAAAAATAAAAAAAAAAAGTGCGTAAACATTGGGAAAGGTGAAGGTAGGATGGGTATTGTGTTTAAAGGTCGTGTTTGATGATGATAATGATTTGAGTATATTTGGTAAATTGTAGGTCTCTAGCTCCATCTGTCGACTAAGTAACGTTTTAGTTCCCCTTGTTGACTATAAGGGGCGCGCTGCAT